TTTTTTATGATAAAACATGTCTACAGCTTCTTTTTTTTTTCATTTGATAAGAGACAAGTTGTTTCTTTACTTTATCAATAAACTTTTTTTTCAATTTATGCAATTATATAAAGGAAAATGACCGATTCAAAACTGCATTTCCTTTTGAAGTTGCCGCCATTTTGGTTGCTATGCAGCATGGTCCTGCATGGCAACAAGTTCTGACCGCGCGCAGCCTGGAACCTAATGTCTACCGCGAAACAGCCGTGAAGAAAAAATGTACCATCGAGTCGATTTTCCATGGACCAACACAGGGTTCCCGAGCGTACGCACGTTTCCTTCCGTCCTTCCGTCCCTGTACCACCACAGGAAACCCATACTCCGCTCGAAAAGGAAGCAAAGCGCCAAGTATTTGTTGAAAAATCGAAATTTTTTCCTTAAACATTTATATTACATATTGATAATATTAGAACAATTAATAACAAGGAAAAAATCCACTGAAGAGCGAAATAACAACACAGAAATATTCCCGCCAATTTTGTCATAACTTCGACGCGTCCGCACGTCCGGGAAATCGATTTGCGAAGATGAAAAGCAATTTAAAAGTAATATTAGAAAGAAGGATTTTACTTTGATATTTCGACATCAAAAAGAGATGATACTTTATTGGAAATAATACTTCAATAATATGACCGGGTCCGTGGGCGCTTCGTTCATCTAAATTGTATTTGTTTTGAAAAAAATTAAATTCAAATTTCGAATGATATTTCAATTTTTATTTTCAGTGTCTTGAAAACAAAAATAAAAAATGTCCGTATATTGAAATTTTGAATTATAACTGACTATATTCCAAATCAAAAATGTTACTTCTTATTGATGTTTTAATCCAAAATAGGACGCACGGATTGTGTATTCTTAGACATTTTTTCTTTGCCATTAACACACGAAAACTAAACATTGTAAAAACGAAAATTTACAAAACCTTTCCTTGTAGGGGAGGGCAGGAAAGCAAGACGTTTGTTATGCGCCTGCGTGTCAACAGTCCCCTAAAAAACCGCCATTTTGATGATTTTGGATGAAATGTTGGAAATGCTGCCGTATTTTACGGTTTGCGATGGTTTTATACACCTTTTCCAAGAGGTATATGTATAATTGTTGACTTGATTGGCGTGGTGCTTACAATATTGACACAAGATGGGCAAAAAGAGCTCTCTAGGCAAGGGATTTGTTTATGACATTCTGGGGACTGAGATCTTCGATCAAAACACACTGTGCAAAAAGCTTGTATAGCTGATATGAAAGTTAAAGATATAACACACAACCGTGCAGGTAATATCTTTTTCATGGATGAGAAAATTGAAGAAGTACAGAACAAAATAATATTGGCTGGTGGGAATCTAAGCAAGTCTAGTTGTCAGGTAAGCTGGTTAATAATGTAAGATTTTTATTAGTGCATATTCAGATATTAATTTGTATTGTTGTTTTACTCAAAGTGAATAGAGTACATCATTAAATGTCCGCAATACTTTCCACTATTTACAACAAAAGAGTGTTAAATAAACAATAGAAAACGATAGAATTTATAGTGCCAGTGTTTAGTGGTATTTATTTTGCACACAGTTTTAGTGTTTGTACTCTAATGTGAGTGCAAGGTAGGCATGGCAAAATCAGAATTTTTCCTCTAAAAGATACCAGCTACTAATTAAAATATCATTGAATTGGTTTTTGTGCAGTTTCCAAGGTTCATGAGAAACTCTTCCTCGTAGTTGAGATATTTTGAACTTGTAAACGATCCAAATGGTTAATTTATGGTCTGTCAATTMATTTTTCGGCCTCAAAAATTTACAATGCTTCATAGCCCAGTAAAAAAGGGATGAGAAAGGGTATATGTATCCAACCTCTGATACACTTGTTTTTAGTACTCTAGTGATTGGATATGATAAGTTTTCATCCCAATATCAATATCTCCATATACATTTTTATAGATTGCTTGGCTGCCATATTTGTCAGG